ATGACAGGGGGTAGATGCTTGGTCTCCCAAAGCTCAGGGTCTTTGGATCAAGTGGTTTCTGTCACTGTAAAATTTCTTTAAAGCCCCAAATTTTATTAATTATTCTTTTAAATTTGGTATCTTATTTTCAAATATAAATTGTTTACTTTAGACATTATAAAACAAAACAAAATCACATCAGTTTCCTGAAATATCCCAGATTTGTTAGTCTAGGGCAAGGGTGGGAAATCGTTTTCCTCCCAAAATTTATTTGCGAGCCATACAAAATTATCAACTTAAAAATAAGCCTGCTGTATTTGGTCAAACATTTAATTAACTCAGTCCTAATGTGTGGCTCTGTGGGTTAATTCTCCAGACTGTAAAGCTATTTGAACTGCAAGGTTGGTGGTTCAGGCTCACCAGCTGCTCCTTGGAACCCCTATACAGGGTCACTATGGGTCAGAACCGACTCGACGGCACTTCACAACAACAACATTGTGATTGCTGGGATTGCAGTTGTCTTGCAGGGCAAGACCAAGTCATTTGGAGGGCCATGGCCAGGCATTCACCTCAGTTAAAATCTGGGCTCCACCATGTGATGTCTTTGAGACTTACAACAACCTTCTTCACTGCTCTGTGACTCAGTTTCCTCATCCTAAAATGGGGATAAAATAGCATCTGTCTTATACCATTGAAGGAGCCTGGGGAGTGTAGGAATTTTGTGATTGGCAGCTAACCCAAAGGTTGGCATTTCAAACTCAATTGGATTCCATGGAAGAAAGGCATGACGGTTTACCAGTAGACCCTTTGGAGCAGTTCTGCATGGGGTCACCAGGAGGCCAACACAGCAACATAGCATCGTGGGTTGGTTAGATGAGTTACTAATTTAATTGCAGAGCATTTTGCATCTTAAGTACTTCATAAACATCAACTATTCTCATTGTGTCTCTCCTGTAACATCTTGGGCCCACACGAAGAGCTCACGCATAAAATAAACTCCCTCAATTTATGGGGACCAGAGCAAAAGTCTCCTTCCCAATCTCAATGCCCCCTTAAATTACATGATGTCATTTACATCTTCCAGACTCAGTTGAACTTCATTTTGATTGATTCTTGGGGACACAAGCTTTGGTGTGTGTGTGTGTGTGTGTGTGTGTGTGTGTGTGTGCACGCGTACACACGCACAAACAGATACACCTTGGGCCAGGATCCGTAGACATGGTTCTATTTGGAATTAGACTGAAGCTTCCCTCACCAATACATGGAGGAGTGACCTGGCGAGCCAGACCCCATTAGTCATAAGGGGTGACAGCTACTGGCCTAGGGTCAGCCACACCTACCCAGAGGCATTGATGACATCATCGCTTCTCCCCAGGAACCAGATGTAACCCTCTTCATCAATAGTTGCTTTGTCCCCGGTATTGTAAAAGTCCCCACATTCCACTTGAGCTGTCTTTTCTGGGTCGTTCTGCAAAGAGAAGTGTGCCCCCCTGTTGAAGGCGGTGGGTTTAGAGATGATGAGAATAATCCGGAGTCAGGTCTGGGTCCAAGGCCTGTCTGATATCATCAGCGACTGGAGCGAGTTTTTAATCTTGCTGAGTCTACACTCATTACGTGTGAGCTCTCGGGGCATGTTACTGCCTAATCAGTGGACGTTATTAAACCAATTTTGATGACAATGAGAAAACTCACTTTGGTGTGGCATTTCTCTCAAATAAAATTTCCATGAACACAGAAACCCTATTTCTCTTATTCTCTGCTGTAAACTCAGTTCCCATACAGTACCTGGTGCCTTCAATGAACATATGAGGTGGTCTTCAAAAATTGCATCATATCTTCATTATTTTTTATTCCCTGTTTTTACAAACATTGTAAAGCCACCTCATACACAGAATGAATTTTCTTCCCCTCAAACAATTTCATTTGATCCTGGAGTTTTTATGTATGTGATTGGTATTTTTAAAGTTAAGTTTCTTATAGATATACACACAATTGTAAGAGGAAGGGAAACTACCAGGGTGAGGCATACATTATCCACACTCTGCTTATATTAAAATGCCCATCCACGCCCACTGCTGATGACAACATTGAGCATGCTCGTAAAGGATTCTGTTGAATAGACGAGTGACAGTGGATTATATGGCAAATCAAAGGGAAAGCTTTCAGTTTCTCTCCATTGAGAGTGATGTTGACTGTTGGCTTTGTATATATGTGCCTAATTATGTTGAGGCATTTCCTTTCCATTCTTACATTGTTGAGTGTTTTTTGTATCAGGAATGGATGTTGGATTTTGTCAAAAGCTTTTTCTACATCAATCGATAGGATCATATGGTTCTTTTCCTTTCTTTAATTTATGTGGTTACATTGATTGTTATTCTAATATTGAACCATCCTTCAATCCCTGGCATGAATCCCACTTGGTTAGGGCATATTATTTTTTGATATGTTGTTGAATTCTACTGGCTAGGATTTTGTTGAGAATTTTTACATCTATGTTTATGAGGGAAACTGGTCTATAATTTTCTTTTTTTAAGTGATTTTTTGTCTGGTTTTGGTATAAGGGTTATGCTTACTTCATAAAATGTATTTGGGAGTTTTCCATCCATTTCCATCTTCTGGAATAGTTGGAGTAGAATTATTTCTCTGGTTAGATTTATTTCTAAATATTTCACCCTTTAAGTGGCTGATATCTCTGATGTTTGGAAGACTGTAAAGCCATCTGGACCTGGACTTTTTTTTGTTATGTGGGGAGTTTTTTAATGATCTGATCAATTTCTTCTTTTGTTATAAGTCTGTTCAAGTTTTCTATTTCACTCTATGTTCATTTAGGTAGGCCATGTTTTTCTAAAAATTTATCCTTTCTTCAATGTTTTCCAATTATTGGAATTATCATTGTTTATACTATTCTGTTATTATTTATTTCTGTTGGTTCTGTTGTGACATCACCTATATCATTTCTTACACATGATATTTACCTCCGGTCTTTCTTTTCTTTTGTTATATTTGCCAGTGGTTTGTCAATTATTTTAACCCTTTCAAAGAACTAACTTCTTATCTTGTTGATTCTTTCTATTGTTTTTCTGTTTTCTAATTCATTTATTTCTTCTCTAATCTTTATTATTTCATTTCTTCTGGTGACTGTAGGCTTACTTTGAGGGTGTTTTCCAAATTGTTGGAGATGTGTTCATGTATTGATTTTGGATCTTTTTTCATTTTGGATGTGTGCTTTTAATCCAATAAATTTCCTTCTAACTAATGCTTTTGTTGTATCCCAGAGGTTTTGGTATATTGTGTTTTCATTCTCATTTGTTGCTCAGTTTCCATGCATTTGATTTAATTTCCTTGATGTTTCTCTTGCTGGTTTCTAATAAAACATGTGATCTGAAAAGTTGCTTTGTAGTGTTTCAATATTTTAAAATTTATTGAGATTTTCTTTGTGGCCTAGTAGATGATCTATTGTGGAGAATTTTCCATATGCACTGGAAAAGAATGTGTATTGTGCTGTTGTTGGATTGAATGCTTAGTATAAATCTTTGAGGTCAAGTTGGTTGTGTTATTTAGTTCTTCTGTTTCTCTGTTGCATTTCTTTCTAGTTGTTCTGTCCTTTACTGAAGGTGGACTATTAAAATGTCCTACTATTATTGTTCTTTATGGGAGCAAAAAGCCTTATCTTTCTCCAGCGGAACAGCTGGTAGTTTTGAACTGCTGACCTTAAGGTTCGCATCGCAGCCCAATTCGTAACCACGCAAGGTCAGCAGTTTGAAACTACCAGCTGCTCCTCAGGAGAAAGATGAGGCTTTCTGTTCCCCTAAGGATTTACAGCCTCGGAAACCCTGTTCAGGATCACTATGGGTCAGAACCGACTCGATGGCACTTAACAGCAACAACAACAACTATTATTGTAAGAGTCCTGGTGTGGTACTTCAGGATAATGTGCTGGACCCCAAGGTAAGTTTGAGCTGCAAGGTCAGCAGTTCAAACCCACCAGCCACACCTCAGAAACCCTATATAGGGTCGCTATGAATCAAAACTAACACGACAGCACATAACAACAACACTATTGTAAGGAGTTCTGGTAGTGTAGTGGGTTATGAGCTGGGTCAGCAGGTTGAATCTACCAGCTCCTCCACAGGAGAAAGATGAGGCTTTCTGCTCCTGTAAAGATTTACAGCCTCAGAAACCCTATGCAGAGTTGCTATGAGTCAACATTGACGTCACAGCACAGCATTACCACCACTATCATTGTAGAGTTGTCTGTTTCTTTCAAATCTACCCCTTTGCCCTTTCAATGTGCTGTCCGTTTCTGAAATCCTAGTATTAATCTTCTGGATCTCTATTTGAAGATTCTGTATTGTCTTGAATCCTTTATCTATTTTGTTTGACTGTTCCTATAGTATTTTCCAGAAATATTCCTTGTTTCCTTGACCTTTCTCTTAATCACTTGGAGGTTGCTAAATATCATCCTCTTGAATTATTTTTCATGTACTTTCAATGTCTTTTTTTCCTCAAAAGTGTTTTCTAGCTCTGCCTCTTGGTCACTAGTGTGAGTCACTGTCTTGTTTCTTCATGTGAATAGTAATTGTCTGCCACTTTCAAGACATTGTGCTGTTGTTGTGTTTGTATTAACTTGGTGATTGTATGCAGGTGTCTTCTTATGAATTCACCAGCTGCCTTCTGGTGGGTGTGATCAGGAGATGAGCTTGTGCACCGCTGTTTACTGTCTGTGCAGTTCAGTTCAGGATGGATTTAGCTGATGGCTGTTGTCACTGATCCAGTGTGTAGCAGCTGGTATTGGGTGGGATAGTAGAGGGTCCAGCTGTGGCTGGGCTGTATGAACACAGTTGCTGTCTCCTATTGAGTGAGGTAAGAAGAGAAAACACACACACAAGAGAGAAGGAAAGCAAACAAACAAGCAAAGAGCAGCAAAAAAAAAGGAAATGGTAAAGAAAAAATAGAGAAGGCAACAGTTAGAAATACAATACGAAAACTAAAGAGAGAAAAGAGCAAGAGGAAAATAAAATAATAAAAAAGGGAAAAATAAAAGAGAGAAGATAAAAAGAAAGAAAAAAGTCAAGTACAGTTAGGGAGAGGAATGAGCAAAAGGGAAAGAGATCAGGAGAACAAACAAGATGATGGATTGGGTAGACGTGCAGTGAGGAGCTCTGTCAGCAAGAACACAGAATACAGGACCAAGCAGGCTCATGGGATGGTACCAGAACTCTGAACCACATATAAAGGAATATTTAGTAGGTTGGAAGGCTTACAGCCAGGGGAATTCATAGCAGAAGCAAGAAATCCATTGCTTTCTAATCAAAGATGCTCAGCTGCTCCTGACAGAACCACGGAGATAAAGGTGTGGACATTCTTTTTTGTTTGTTTGTTTGTTTTTCTGTTCACAGGAAGCCACAACAAGAAGGTGTAATTCAAGGCTGCAATCTTCAGGGTGCTAGGTGTCTGTCTCTGGTTGTTGTCTGTTCTTGTTGGTTCTCAGTTCACAGACCTCTCGCTGTCTGTGCACCTCCATTCTGGTGACTAAAGGGGATGTCTGAGCGAGTGGACACCCCACCCCCACCCATGGAGGGTTCTGCTACATATGTGCACAGATCTCCTTAAAATTTAAAGTGACAGTTTCCACTTAAAACCAAACAGCAGTGCAAAACAGCCACAGCCAGCCCTGACTTTTTCC